CAGGGCCATTGTTTGCAGTCGTAATTGTTTTCCTAATGGATAAAGTCTATAAATTTCTGTGCACGACGCACAGCCAAATGCGAAATATGTCACGAATGTTAAGCGTTTTATAAACGACAACAGCGGCCAAGAGGAAGGGCGAGAGCGAGATGTGGATGCTGCGGCGACTTATCGATGCCAGCCACTCAGCGGGTGCTGGGGTGGATGAGAGTGGAGCCACTGCCAGCCGCCCCCCACATGAATAGAAAATTGAGTTGTTTATGGAGCCGACACTAAAATCTTTGCACAATGCGAAGCAGAAGTTAGTTGACATCAAATACGGCATAGATCCTGTTTGGGACACATTCACGACCTGCGCCTGCTGCACCACAATTGTACAATAAAGCAACATTACAGTCGGCTGCTGACTTACAGTTAAGACTCTTGGCTGTCGCCCACTTTGTAGATCATGTTAGTGTCCTCAATCCTCCTCCTTTTGCCCACCCAGAGGTTCAAATAAATCAAAGTCAAATCGAGTTAATTTCTATAAATTGTTTTCTATTTTCCTTTCATAGCCTATAGTTAGCTTATCCTGTTGCAGATCCTTTGATGTGCACCAAAGAACACACAAGATAAGTGCAGTTATTTCTTTCAGTTTAAATCTCTGTTTCATCTATATTTGCTTTGTGCTTGCGGCCAACACACTCGAGTCCAGCGATAACAACAAAAAACAAATGAGACTCTCCTCGCAGCGGACCMGCAGTCAGCTCCATTTAGTTGCGACGGCGGAAGACGCGACGACGCACGGTCTTGTAGCGGTAGCCATCCTGGGCGGGCTGCTCGATCTCCTCGAGCACCTGCTCGTCGGCAGCTGGCGGAATGTAGGCGTCGGCGGGTGCGGCCACTGGTGCTGGTGGGATGTACTCCGGCTGGGGTGCTGGTGGTGCGGGTGGGATGTACTCGGGCGCTGGCGGTGCTGGTGGTGCGGGCGGAATGTAGGACTCGACGGGCGCTGGTGCAGGCGCCAGTGGGGCTGGCTGAGAGTAGTCATAGCCAGGCTGGCCCAGCTCCGAGACATCGGCGAGAGCACAGGCCAGGAAGGCAACGGCAATGATTAC